GGTCTCGGTAGATCAGTTAGTTGTGCTGCCCGCACTCGTGATGTGGCGAAAGGCGTGGAGGTGGCCTCGCCCTCCGGAATTAATGTCCGTGTATGGTCGCCAAAGAGGGCCGTCCATCCGCTGGCCTAATGCTATCAGCCTGGTTGCAAAACGGCCGAGTCGTGGAGTCGCACGCCACGGGAAGACCCTTTCGTGTTATTTGAATACGAATCCGAGGCAGACCCAGTTCGCCTATGTCGTTGCAGTGTTGGGGTAGTGGGTTCAGAGTGGTGACAACAAATTGTGTTCAGCACGGGACCCGATTCAGAATCCGTCCAGAATTTTTGCCTTCGCATTGTTTATCATCGCGCAGTCACATTGTGCATAAAATCTGGACTAACGACTACCGTGCCATAAAGGCATTCTTTTGCCCAGTATTTTACGAACTTGACCAGTGCCCGGACGGGGTTTTGAGACAACCGTGGCCGGTCGGGGGAAGTTGACTTCCCCTGGGATTTTAAGCTTCCGGGTACCGCATGCGAAAAACAAACGGTACTGTTTTGAAATGATGAATGCACAAGTTTTTGTTCTTAACTTAAATGTGAGGTCGCCAGACGTCACGAAAGGTGAAAAAACGATCGTTCGGTAGATGCACCTTAAAAGCTACATTACCACGTCAATACGGATATTGAAGGCACGGAAATAGGCATTAGGACTGTGGGAAGTTCATTCCAAGATTTTATTGATTAAAATGATCAGGTCAAATTGGGTCATCATCCAAATTGGTCTACCAGGAGCCTACAATAATGATATTTTCACAACGTGCCTCGGACTAAGTTTATTTTAGCAGGTGCACAGCTGTGCAAGCAGAAACAAAATCAAAACACAAAAAATATATTGTTTATGGCGGGCCTAGACGTCAGCTGAGGTAAACTTGGGTCAAAACTATAGAGCATCCAACTGAACAAAACTTGAAGTGCTAGAGCTATGTCTAAGTGACCAGTGCAATGCTTTTCGGTGGTTAGAAATAACGTTGTACATCGACGGATACTCAAGATTACATAGCTATTGTACATATCATACATAGTCTCTTCGACGCTTGGCAATGCGTTGGTAACAAATTGGGAGCAGACACGACGAAAGATAAAGTTGCATGTTTATCAGTTTCACGAATACGATAAGGAGGTGGTCACACGCGTCGCGCTCAGTCATTTAGCCTCTCCGTCACTAACAACACACGTCATTGACCTTGGATGGCATAGACATCATATGGCCTTGCACGTCCTCATGCAGCCTATCGTGACGTCATGATGCATGAGAATGAGTAAGAACATGCTTTCAGTGGAGTATTTGAATTCTGTATCCAAATTGGCGTCATAAATCTACACATTTTGAGCACAGCATGTTTTTTGCAGAAGGCATCCATGGAGGTAGGTCATAGCCTGGACCAAGGTGATGTGCTCTGTGGTTACGTGATGGTTTTGCACGTGAGTTAGTACTCTTTCACTCATATACAATGACCAAAATTACACAAAAATGCGTACAACTTTGCATTACTTACCAAAAATAGCAAAAGTTGTCACAGTTCCGGGCCACTGACCTCGCCTGCTCCAAAAAATCCGGAATACACATGCTGTAAGCGCTATCGTGTTCTATTACTAAGGCAGGTGTGAGCGATGGCAAATGACCCACAAAAAGTTATGTGTGGTCCAACTCTTTTAGAGGTGGATCTCGGTGACCTCACCTACGTCACTGATCTCGATATCACAAAGCTTCAAATTTTCACAAAAGGATGCCAAATTTACTGAAAATCGTGTGGGGCTGCGAGCGTTTTTTTCAACCTGTACTAGAAAAACCGAAGGGGGAAGCCAACTCTCCCCTTCTCCCTCTTCCCCCCCCCCCCCTAGCCGGGTACGGGTAAACAACAAAAATATTCTAAAGCAAGGTAATCTTAGGTTCCGACCTCAGCATTGGCAGCAGCCGGAATGTCCGTTGACATAAAAGCGTCCCCACGGGACCGGTTCATCAGTGCCGCTACTGTCATATCTCGAGAGTAGCGTCTGTTCTTGAGCTTGATACTTAAAACCAAGCAAACTTCCAATATGAAATACCCTCTACCTTATATCTTTAATTTTCTCTCGTTTGCGCCGAAACATATTGCGGTTACCGGGGCAGTTTTACCCGCTTGCCTTTTACGAAGGTGTCATTGCGCGGTAGTGCCAGCGTGTTAAACGTTACAAATTCTTGCATAGTCATTATTTAGGAAATGACTTTAGGTCAATCAGCATGATCTCCGAATTTGCTGACATCTCTTTTGCGTTCGTCGAACACCCCTGGTTATCAACAAAGTCCGGTCGACCTGATAAAATGTTTCAAAAGTCCTCGTAATTGTGGCCAGCTTTAAGTAACACATTTTTTTCTGAAATCAGCGAAATGCAACTACCATCGGTTCCGGCGTTATTCGAGCTTTTTTTTAGAGCAATTTAAGTGCGGTGTCAGCTATTTCAATGATATGCTGCATTTACAACATATAATTTGTTCATGTTATGTACTAACTGCATTTTATGCACACTTCGTACAGAAAACAGCTGCTGTTGATGCAGCGTTGATGAAACAATCAGAACGGATGCGACAAAAATGTTATCGGTGTTCCAAAAAAATTGTTTTCAATAGTTTACGACCGGGAAAGTTAAACGGTTTGGATTGGAAACCAAAAAGGCGCGGTTTTTGGCTTTCGGAAAGTGTTATGGCCCGTCCGGAACGGCGATCCCTGATCTGCCAGTGTCTGACTAAGATGAAACACACGCATGAAAAGAACACTTAAATGATTACGAAGTATAAACAGTACATTTTGCTTCAATAAAAAACGGCACCCAGTAGCAAACACCGCCGCCAATGGTTCAAAGAACGATCCTGAAGTCCGAAGGTACGCTCCGAGGGTAAGAAGAACGGTAACGCCCAAAGCAAGGAAGTGTGCCTCAAACTCTGTCCGTGTAGCGCCCGTGGGCTCTAAGACCGCTGCTGACCATCCAAAAAGTCTGACCGAGCTTCATGATATTAATCCACCTGCCAAATCTTATTTGCTGGAATGCGTTGCCCTCTGCTGGTATCGCTCCAACGTAATGCATAAACCGGGGGAGCGACCGCAAGTAACCCAAGGTCGGTACAGGTGCACGTTCAAGCATATATAATCATATTCGCCATATTTGGCACAAGATTTGTCCACACATACCATGCACAAGCGAAGGGCAGGTCATAAATTCCCCTAGCTGTGGGGGGGGGGGGATTTGCTGTATTAACTGCTGTGTAACCTATTATGGCCTCGCCCGTCCCACGGCGCGCAAGGAGTCGCCCTAGTTAAGCTATACGACGCCTGACTTGATCAAAAGGATTGTTCCACACGTGTATGGGTATTTGAACTGGAATAGCCATCTTGAAGATTATTCGGTGCAGTTCACAACTCTGCCCTTATTAACGCTTAAACGTTTCTAGTTTCTGAACTACACGCCGGCGAAGATGTGCAGACTTTCTCGTGAAGACTTTTTCAAGGACATCCCAGGCATCCATGACGCAATAATAACGTAATCCAAATCCTGTCATTCCATCAGCCACATGGCTACCAAGGCCAAGAAAAATATAAGCGTCGAGTCGTTCATATCTGGCCTTCATGAGCACGATTTCCCGATTTCACGACTGTCAATTGGCTCGCAATCAATGTTGTGCAGGCTACGTTACAGTGGTTGATGCGCAATTGGTATGATATAATCATACGACGGCAAATTGAGGAACATATTTACTTAAATGAAAAATTGTGTTGTATACGACAGCCTTTTCCACTTAAGAGCATACTAAAAGTTGTACGTGATCTTAGTTCATTATATCTGATGTTTCATTCAATATCATATAAATGGAACACTGCATTTAAAGGACATTTTTGGAAAGGAAAGGATGATGATTTGGTTTACCTGTTAACGAAACGTACGTTAACTTGCTTACAATAAGTATGCGTGTTGATCTCTCGGCGCGATTAGGTGTTGTAGAGTTTGTTTGGCGGTGTAAAACTCTTAGTATTTAGATGTTTACAATTCCTTGCTTCCTGTCAACTACATCCAACGCGTTTGTTCGCTTAGCTTTCTGCTTCACTCTGCCATTCCTTCAATAGGAAACCTGCTGCAAACGATGATAAAAAACATAAAAATTTTACGGAGATAAAATGTTCGTTATGTTTTGACTGAGTACCGGGCACTAAGAGCCCTGAAAGCTTATTTCAAACATTGCTTGATTTGCCACTTAGGTGTTCGAGACGCAGTCATCAAATATTTATCGTATGCGTTTAAATTGCAAGGAAGCCAGTGCAAAGTCTGCAGATAGCTCCTGGTTAGCTCACGAATTCAGAATAAAACTGCTTAAAAACGCACACATCAAATTTATCAAAATTGCAATCTTCTAATCGCAAATGCCCAGAGAGCCCCGCATACTGATGAATGGAACACCACATTTAACACCTCGTTGATTTCATAGCCCGGAAACCATATGCCGGACCACTCCACAAAGTGTAGCGTGACTCTACGAAGGGCTTAGTTCACTCCCAATGGTAGCTGTAAACCGACTCACGACCAAATCCGCTTTTCCGAGGAGCGGGCTCAGGCGTGGTCCTGAGCAGAGCCGCAGCGAGGAGCTCCTTGGTGTGGGGAGAACCTAACGAGCATTCATCGTAAGAGAACCGAAGGAGTTGCGTACGGTGCTACAGAACAAAATGCGAGCCTAAGGGTAATCATACCCCTCCCCTCTTCTCTCCCTGCGTACGCCTCTGGTCATGGGCGTCGCCAATAGGGGTCAGGGTCGTCCGTGGCGCCCTGAAGGCACGGCGATGGCATAGCACGTCCCGTGGTAATGGCATTAACTCCATAATGTGCGCGATTTATTAGCCAAATAGTGGCCCCGCAGATGGCCAGTTCGGAGCCCCAAATCACCGGCTAGTCCCTAGGATGCATAATCCTGGTGACGGCCCCGGCACTCACGATTAGATCCGCGATGGCCAGGTGCAGCAGCATCAGGTTCAGCCGCTTCATCCGCCGCCGCTTCCGCAGCAGCGTCAGGATGACGCTGATGTTCGCCGGCGCCGAGATCACAAACATCAACGAGTTCGCAACGATGCCGACCACATGTTTCTCCTGAAACAGCAGTGCCGCAGGCCACTCAGTGCTGTTCGCCGCAGGGTCGCGCTCGCCGCTGACCTCCGTGGTGACCTCTGACCCCGGCGGCGCGGTGGGGTCGCTGACGTCCATGATCGTGCGCTCGGAGCGGACGACGGTGGCCTGTGGACTGCCGACGGCAGCGCGCCGGTCCGATACCCCCTCCACCGCTCCGCGGGACGGCGCGGCCTGCGCCGGCGGGCGGTGCGCACCGCGTGACGGTCAGCGCGCCCGCTGCTCGATGTTTATGCACGGCGGATGCACGGAAATGTCGCGGTAACTGCAGGAATACGGGGTGGGGAGGAGCTGCGCGTGGTTTTCTCCGTTAGCTGCGACCGGCGCGGAAATTACGTCCGTGGTTTTGCGCAGCCGTGTCCAGTGCGTTTCATCATTAGCAGCACGGCTTTCAAATATTGGAAGCAATCACGCGATTACTGAGGCTCCGTTGTGTATTGTCATTGATGACAGCCTCATGATGTTAGCTTTATCGGGGGCGAACGATCATGACCTCTTACGCATATTGGACAGCGTGAAGCTGACGTGTCGCTATGTTGCTGACAAGGCAATCCACTCGATCAAAATCATTTTAAAGGAAAACGCCTTTACTTCAGGTGCCTTCAAATTTACCCTCGACTTGATCTTCACTGCTTTTTTATGACTCGGGCTGATAGGACAGGGGTCGATGCGAGGCCCCTCCCTCCGTCTGCCGTTGCAAAACCACGAAAGCTAGAGCCTCGTGGAGAAAAGAAAACAATGAAATGGTGTTAATAAGACCTTGCAATTGGTTAAGTGTCTTGTGTTGGTATGCCGTTGTTTGACCGCACCATGCCGGGTCAGTGGTCAAATTTCCCTGATAATATAACCTTCTCAGCTTTATATGCACACATTTACAAGACTATGGCCTTACTGTCAGTCAGGTACTTACTGTCACCCGGAGGGAAGCGCCGGCTGTCAGTCAGGTTCTTACTGTCACCCGGAGGGAAGCGCCGGCTGCCAGTCAGGTACTTACTGTCACCCGGAGGGAAGCGCCGGCTGCCAGTCAGTTAGGTACTGTTCGCCGGAGGGAAGCGCCGGCTGCCAGTCAGTTAGGAACTGTCACACGGAGTGAAGCGCCGGCTGCCAGTCAGGTACTTACTGTCACCCGGAGGGAAGCGCCGGCTGCCAGTCAGGTACTTACTGTCACCCGGAGGGAAGCGCCGGCTGCCAGTCAGTTAGGTACTGTTCGCCGGAGGGAAGCGCCGGCTGCCAGTCACGGAGTGCCAGTCAGGTACTTACTGTCACCCGGAGGGAAGTGCAGGCTGCCAGTCAGGTACTTACTGTCACCCGGAGCGAAGCGTCAGCTGCCAGTCAGCTAGAAACTGTCACCTGTAGGGAAGTGCCGGTTGCCAGTCAGTTAGGAACTGTCCCCCCGGATGGAGGCGCCGGCTGCCAGTCAGGTACTTAACGCCATGAAGGTTAGGCAGGCGTCTTTCTTCTTTGATTCTGAGTACAATGGTACTGAGTCGCATATGCATTGAGCATACATTTGTGATGTAGGCTCTGTCAATGTTACAGCGTCGGCCCACCGCGCGTGGCTCGCGGAAGCGTTGGCTGCCGCCCGCCGCCCGCGCCGGCCGGCTACCGGTGCTGGTAAACGAGCTTTTCAACTTCATATGTTTACATGTACGAGAGCATGCCCCTAAGCGTTACGAAGAAATGGAGTGAATAGCAGCAACTAGAATAACAAAATACGCTTACACTCAATGTGACCACTTAAGCCATCGATGATTTGACCAACGGCATCGGCCAGTTGGTGCGGAGATGGAGGTGGGCCAGAAAACCTGTGCATAGTTGCGCTTGGTGAAAGCATTCCACTGAGATGAGCCAGTCGGGTCTCGACCGCTGGGCGGCAGGACGCTCCCAACTCACGTCGGCGTAACGACGGTAGCAGAGTCCGCGTGCCGTTTCTCTCATCACCATCAAGTTCAAACGTCTCTCAAGCGCTGTTCACCTGAAATGAATGTTTCTCTAACTATGGGTTCCAGTGTCCAGTAATAAACATCCTGCCACTACGAGGCCCCATGGTTTCTAGCGGAATGAAGCGCTGCAGGTCGCCCATGATGCTGGAGCATCGGCCAACTCACGCTGGATGCGTCATGCATGTCCTACAGGCCCGATCACCTCCGCGTCCCCACCGAAGGATTCAGTTGCAAACGAAAGGTGACCCGGCATCGTCCTCAGCCTTCAGTGGAGCGATAACAACTCAGTGGTGAGGCTGGCGTAGCTGGCGTCGTTCCGACGCACCCGCGCGTGTCGGTGCACCCGATGGCCTCCGTGAGCAATGGCTGTGTCACAGCTCACACCAGACGCGCGGCTGATGGCGCAGAAAGGTCGACACTCGTGGCGCATTCTTTCCACTTCTTTCAGCGACGAGCTGAAAGAAGCTGAAGAGGGTGCATTCCGAATCTCGCATCGGCTCAATCCCGAGACGTCCTATATGGTAAGAGATGATGGTACCACTTGCTACAGTCCAATAGAGGTGCGAACCCTCTAGCCTGTCGCCTACAAGATGTCAGACGCCATCAGGCTGTTGTGTTTTCATGGCTTTCAGAGAGACCCCGAACTGGGGTGCGCGGTGGATTGTTACCCTGTCGTACTGCAAACACGTCTTCCAGACTTTACTCAATCGTTTGTTATTCTGCCAGTTAACACAAAGCTTAGAGACTTGATGAGAAGAGCATGTGCAAAAATAAAGAATTGGTTACAATTACCAGCCCACATCACTGAAAATGTACTGCTGAGTGCTCACACCGGACGTTGGCACCGAATCTCATGCACATGATTTCATACTAAGCACATTATTTCAACGTATGTGCATGCGTCTCCGATCTGTAGGCACCATATTCACAGATTTGCCTTCGCCAGTAACGAGCATTGCGTGGCCAAGAAGTTGCCGTAGACACCACACCAGTCTATGCCACGAAAAGAATGGTACATTGACAGATTTGCCTTCGCCGGCAAGGAATATTGCATGGCGAAGACGTCACCGTAGACACCACAGCAATCCCCGCTACATGAATAATGTACGGCTTCGTGGGTGATATGGCAGAATATTGACCGGCGGGACGCTATCTGGTGCCGAGGGGGCAGACAGAGGCAGGAACTGCCATCAGAAGGGAAGCGCCGGCTGCCAGTCAGGTAGGTACTGTCACCCGGAGGGACGTGCCGGCTGCCAGTCAGGCAGATACTGTCACACGGAGGGAAGTGCCGGCTGCCAGTCAGTTAGGTACTGTCACCCGGCGGGAGGGGCCGGCTGTCAGTCAGGTACTTACTGTCACCCGGAGGGAAGCGCCGGCTGCCAGTCAGTTAGGTACTGTCACACGGAGGGAAGTGCCGGCTGCCAGTCAGGTTCTTACTGTCACCCGGAGGGAAGCTCCGGCTGCCAGTGAGTTCGGAACTCTCACCCGGATGGAAGCGCCAGCTGCCAGTCAGCTGCCGGGACGTTTCGCCGCTCAACGGTCCGCCGAACCGCAAGAGAAACGCCATTATTATGATTGATACATGAATTTTGTGTTCCCTTTCATTTCCTTCTCTTCTGGTTCCATTCAGTACAACATAGACGCTTTGGTGTCCAATGACTGTGTTCGCTGACTTTCGCCTCCTTCAAAAGCTCCCCAATCGTAGCAGTAGACCAATGCATGGTATCGGCCTGATCAACCAACTATGCTTGTGTCTAAGATTTAAATGGCCCATTCAAACACTGTTAAACCAATGCGTGGTATTGGCCTGATCAACCAACTATGCTTGCGTCTTATATTTAAATGACCCAGTCGAACACTGTTAGACCAATGTATGGTTTTGGCCTGATCAACCAACTATGCTTGCGTATCAGATTTAAATGACCCAGTCAAACACTGTTAGATTGAATAGCTTCATTGCTAAGCAGGTGCTTTATTTCCTTCACATCGATCAATAGTCATAATCAATAGACAGCATAGACAAATTGTACAAGTAGTTACCACTGCGCACAACCATGATTTGTAGGGGGGGGGGGGGGGCTACTGTGACTTGCAGTGGGACGCTATTTTTAAGAACGAGTCACTGCTCCATTGACAACGTCTACGCATTGCGAGCAGGCTAACAGACCCCACAAGTGCAGAGTATAGCTACATAGGTACAGTGCCTGGCGCATCCGTATACTGTTGATGTTGGTTTGCCCTGGTGTCTTAAAAAGTTGTCTCAGCTGCATACCGTGTGCGTATTCACTCGGCTATCCGCCAGTATTCTCACTAGATTATGAGATATAGAACTAAAGCTGCTTTCCTGATCACCAGATTTCGGAATTATATTCAGTAGGACGGTGGTGAAAACCTGTGCTCGAATCTGACGAGAGGGGGGGGGGGGGCTAAGGCCCCATGATGCTCCCCTTGGCTGCACCACTGATTCGTACGTCTCGGCCAGCCCATTTGTGTCACGTGCCACGTGCTTGCCACCTGCGTTTACAAACTACCAACGCTAACAGCGTTAGCAGCAGAGGGGACAGCAGCAATTTAGTTCATGGGTTCCTCCTTTTCAGAATCAACGTTGCCGCTTTAATTGTACATTTTTCTGAGTTTATGCACATTTTCATAAACAGCGCGAGCACCGGCCTTACACCGACGTTAAGACCACTGACGCATGCGTTGTAACAAAAGATAAAAACGTAGTGAAGGGGGTAGGGGAGGGCCCCGCAGCATGCGCTCATTTTCACCGTCCAGAAATTTATGTTTATGCATTTTGATGGAAAAATATTAAAAGCATCCATTAATGTTTGCAAAGAAAAAATACGCCACGAAAAAATACGTCAATACGCTAACCCTTTAAATAAAACGTCAAGAATATTCGATTTCCTAGCCTGTTCAGGTATTTCAATAACATGCCTCAGTTTGGTGCATGGCCAAGCATAAACATACAATGCGCAGCTCACACACCAATTTGGCGTTCCGCAAGAAATGTTCTGAGATGAAGCGTTGGCATAGAAGCAGCAGTATGCAGTGCTACTGCGACACGCGGCAGAGTTCCTGAATATCACAACATTACTTTGGCACCAAACAAAAATGTGAGAAAATATCCCAAAGCGGAAGAGGCAAATA